TTTCCGAAATACCCCCCTCGTCCCCCATCGAAACTCTTGTCGTCTCGTACAATTCGATGATCTCGGGCTACTCCCTCCACTCACTTCCAGAGTGGGCAATGCAACTCTTTCGTGATATGGTTCGTGCCCGTCTGCCCTCTAACTCCGTCACTGTCCTCGCTCTGACACGGTGCCTGCCCTACCCCTTTGGGTTGCATGGCTTTTTGTATCGGGTTGGGTTTGCGGGGAGAGAGAGTGATGTGTCGGTGGCGAATTGTTTGATTAGTTGCTATGGGAAGTGCGGGGAGGTTGAGTGCGCACGGGAGGTGTTTGACGAAATGTGTGAGAGGAGAAGGGATATTGTTTCTTACAATGCTATGGTTTCTTGTTACGCGCAAAATGGGCTTGCGGATAAAGTGTTGGAGTTGTATGATGAGATTAGGGATTCGGGCCGGGTTAGGATGGATGCGGTTACGCTTGTTAGCGTGTTGTCTGCCTGTGCGAATCTCGGTGCACGTGCACTAGGGCGTGAGATTGAACGAGATATTAGTGGTGATCGGAGTTTTAACTCGAACTTGTTTTTGAAGAATGCTTTGATTAATATGCACGCTAGGTGCGGGGATTTGAATAGGGCTTGTGAGATCTTTGATTGTATGCAAGAGAAGACTCTTGTGTCATGGACAGCGCTTATATCGGGTTATGGAGCACACGGGCATGGAAGAAAAGGCTTGGAATTATTCGAAAGAATGTTATCCAATGGTATTAAGCCTGATGGGGTTGTGATGGTTAGTGTGCTCTCGGCTTGTAGTCATTCAGGATTAACCGGTAAAGGGCTAGAGTACTTTGAAAAAATGGAGAGTGGTTTTGACATCAAAAGAGGACCTGAGCACTATGCTTGTGCTGTTGATCTATTAGGAAGAGCTGGACATTTAGATAAGGCATGGGAGTTGATTAGATCAATGCAAATTGAGCCTGATGGTGGAGTCTGGGGTGCACTTTTGGGTGCTTGTAAGATTCATAAGAACGTCGAGCTTGGCAGATTAGCTTTTGATCATTTAGTAGAGATTGAACCAACAAATGTCGGATACTATGTGTTGTTATCAAATATTTACTTAGATGCAGGGAAATTAGATGATGTTGCTAGAGTTCGAGCTATGATGAAGAAGAGAGGACTAAAGAAGGAACCTGGATGTAGCTATGTTGAGCTCAAGGGGAAGGTTCATTTGTTCATGGCTGATGACCATTCTCATCCCCTTGCTAAGAGTATTTATCAGATGATAAATAAGTTGGAGACGTTGGTAAATAATGAGAGAGGTGGTGGAAATAAAGAGGATGGAGAAGAGAGTGAGAAGGTTGTTGGTTTTCATAGTGAGAAGTTAGCTATTGCTTTTGGATTGTTGAGTACTGAGGCTGGAAAAGAGATTGTTGTGATTAAGAACCTGAGGGTTTGTGGAGATTGCCATGTGTTTTTAAAGTTTGTGTCGAAGATTGTCAATAGGAAGTTAGTTGTAAGGGATGCGAGTCGATTCCATCATTTTGAGGATGGAGCGTGTTCTTGCAATGACTATTGGTAATGGTTTTGCTTTTGTATTTTTGATCTGGTGATGAAGCTGAAGGTTAACTCCCGTCGGGGATAAAATGAGAGAGAATCGCTTGTAATGGTTTGGTCTTGCGCGATAGAGGCCGTAGAGTGCACCAACTGGGAGAAGTGACGAGATCATAATTAATGGGGAAAGGAGGACTAGAGGGAGGCTAAGAGAACTTTGTAGGAAACAGTTAAGAAGGATGTGATAATGCTTAACTTAGTAGACGAGAGTGCCTCAAAAATATTAAATGGGAGAATAAGATTCATGTAGTGGACCCCAAAAATTTGGGATAAAGGCTTTCATATTGTTGCTGTATTTGTGGTTGAAGCTAGATTGGGAGAAATGGCAAGCTAGTGTAATAATTGAAGATGTGGATCATTTGCTTCAGAGCTTATTGGCAAGATTTAATGCGTGACTGGTGATTGTAGACATTGACAGGCAGAAAGAGGTAATTGCTAACCAATTGAGACTGTATGTTGTACACTTCGTTTATTCAGATGGTTTTGATAGTGCACCAAAGATGTCTGCTTCTTTCCTATAAAACCAGTGACCTGGAGTTCTCTCAAGGATCCAAATACCTAGTCTCTTTGTTGTTTAGAAACACAGTTCTTTTTTTTAATATCAAACTGCTGATAGAACAAGATTTTGCTTATAAAGATAGAGCACAAGTTACTAATATCTCGCGACTTTTGCATTTCCTGTATCTGCAGTCTGAAAAAACTTAGTTTTAAACTTGTTGATTCATATATCAGCTGAATTCTGGCTGACTCTTAGCTATTTTGTGTTCTGATATTTGTAAATGATTGTTATATGACCCCATCATAAGAATTCAAAAGCGCGACCTTCTTTTGAAATTTGCTACTGTGCAGTACAATGTTTAGTTAAATTCACATGAACTGATAGAACAAAATATTTATAAGCCTACTTTTCTGAAACTGGAAAAATGAAAAATATATATGCCTGATTTCTATTTGTTGGTCCACCTTAATGATACAATCTCTTATGATGAATCTCTGTGTCAAATTTAGGCTCTGGGTCTTCAATTTCCCACACCTTTGCTTACGTATGCTCCCAGAGATCGATAATATATGTCAAGATTCTCCCTGAACCTGCAGGTAATTTTCATTTTTTTTATACCAGTCATCTTTTATCATGATGTCACTTCAAATTTATCGGCAACAGGTCTTTCCCAGTATATCAAACAATGATGCAAAATGATTTCTCAACAACTTCGGAGAGGGGAAAAAATTCCTCATTGGTCATGGAACATGGAGGAGCATCATACATTTCAAGATAATTGTTCAACTTCAAATGCTGACAATTAGTTACATGAGAAAGGAAAATCTACGGTCCTGATAACAAGAGAAAATTCACTGGTGTGAAGAGAGAATTCCTGCAAGAGAAAATACACTGGTGTGAAGAGAGAATTCCTGCAAGAGAAAATTCACTGGTGTGAAGAGAGAATTCCTGCACCGTTATTCTTGTGTTGACCTGCTGCAATAGCGAGGATGACCAGATAAACACAAGCAAAAACTTTGCTAACTCTGAAAAATATTACTATGTACAAAGTTTGATCGAATAAAAACATGCATCCTGCCTGCATGGATTGAGCGTGTTGAATATAAAAATACCACCATGTTGAAGAACCTTGGCCATAATATATTTTTTGCGTTGTATGTGAAAAATAAGTGCTCAGTTGATCATTTTGTACTTTTGAATGTAACTGACATTTCACTTCAGCAAAATTAAGAATAAGCATGACATCATAGAAAGACAACAAGATTCTCAGATGAGCTACTAATAATTCTAAAACAATGTTGAATCAACAAAATATTATGAAACTTCAATTTTTTTTACCAACAAGAAATATAATTTTCACTAAATTCTGACATGATACTGATACAATATGCTTCTTTAGAGACATTTTTCCTCCGCAAAAACCAACAAAATTGTCTTCCAATTTCTCTATAGATACAATCTTAGATTGTGCCTACATCACATTCTGAACCAGAATCTGAATCTGAATATAACTCAACAGGCCGACTTCTGTTTGTATTTGCTTCAAGTGGGGGAAGATCATCATCAACATCATCACCATCTGAAGTCAAATCCTCATTTTCAGCAGTTGGTAGGTGTGATTGAGCCTTTGAATTCTCTGCTGCTTTATCTCTGAAGATTGCAGGCCTGTACAATAACAATATCAATTCTAATCAACATACTAATTTATCTCAGTAAAGAGCAGATACAATGTTCAGATTTCACGAATATTTCTAGATATATTGCAAGAGGACGGCCAAACAGTAGGCATCAAAGTAACTTACCAATCTGAAGATTTTGCAAGATTCCTAACTTGGTCATGAAAAAGAATTTGTGAAACCATGCATGTTATCTTGTTACCAGATTCAAGAGCCTTGTGCATGCCACTTCCATCTACTATAACAAGAAACCATGCATGTTATCTTGTTACCAGATTCAAGAGCCTTGTGCATGCCACTTCCATCTACTATAACAAAGTTTCCTGTGTAGAAAAAGCAACCCAGATTCAAGAGCCTTGTGCATGCCACTTCCATCTACTATAACAAAGTTTCCTGTGTAGAAAAAGCAACCAAAAGTACTTTACATCCCTGCCTCTCTTTTTTCCTACAATATGCTCATGAACTTTTAGAGGGCCCTGGGTACTAATATTAGTCGTCAAGACATCTACGAGAAAGAATAATTATATCGAACAAGCACGTATAGTAAATGATTCAAAATGCTTGTTATACTTGTTTGTAAAGCTGCAAACCTTCAGTTGAGATAATAGAAAATAAAATTACCTCTTTTAATCCAAAAGCTCCTCTGAAACTTGGCTGGGAACAGAGCAAGAGATTTGATGCCTTTAGAATCCATAACCTAAGAAACAAGACAAACAATACATGAGAGGCATAGACTATACTTGAATTACCCACACTAGTAGAACTAAAAGAAGGTAACAAATATCTTTGCTGCATACGATCATAAGAAAAGCATGGATAGCTTATAGAAAATCCAATCAGATACTATTAAGAGACATGGAAGACTTTATCTTCATACTACAAATGTATTTAATTTATAATTATCGACAAAGAGTTACAAAAAAAATGTCAACCACTAGAGATATAACTAAAATTGGAAACTCGAATGAAAAATATGGACATATATGATTAGAAAACAACTCGTTGCATTCTGGAAAAAATATGGTTCAATGCAAGGTTTGAAGTATTGCGGGTACCAATACGGTAATACTCATCAGTTATGTCATATCAAAGTTTAAGCATGACCAGCTAACAATGTTACCAAAGGCCCTAGGCGGACTATGCATTCGAGCCAGGGCCTAGCGCCTAGGCGGCGCCTATTTTTAATTTATTTAATTATAATAACTTACAAAAATATGTAAAATTGCAAAAAAAAAACATAAATAACAAGCTTAGATCCATAATCAACATGCATAAATAATCTATTGGTTTCTGGACAAAACAAGGAAAATGAAAATGTATATATCAATTACAAAATAAGTAAATGTTGCTTTTCAAAAGAACTCCTAAGAACTTTAACTACTGCATTTACTTGTCATCAATTAAAAAATCCACGTTATCTTCCTATATCTCCAAAGAGAGAAAAAAAAAATGTTAACGTTGTGAACTTCAAACCAAATTACAACAAACTATCATAAGTTTCTCGCTCCTAGCCTGAACACGAACACGTAAATGCTAGGAGCGGGCCGCATAATTTTCAGTCCCTCTTCTTTCTTTGAATCCTCTTCTAGCTCACCCTAATCTCTATTTCTTTGAATATAACAACCTAAAAATTACAAAATTAAGCTTTGCAAAGGTGAAACTAATCTGACCTCGATGAGATTGGAACCCCGCAGGGATACAACTTGCATGACGCTTTGCCCTTCTCCTAGAGAAACCGCATCCTTTTCTGAGGCCTTTTTCAAATTCTTTCTGCCAGTTCCCATGACTCTTAATTCCTCTAAAATGGAGAAGAAGAAAGAACCAATCAACAAAAAACCGAACTTTTAGGAATAAATTACACGAAAACATTAGATTGATACCGTGAAAATGCCGAAAAAGTTCAAATTTTGTTGATTTAGAAAGAGCCGCACCGCAGGTTAAATAGCTAAGAGCGTGTTTGGTAACCAAAGTGTTTTTTTTTTTTGTTGTGTTTTTTTAAAAACACCATACCATAGTGTTTATTTTTCAAACGTATTTTCAAAACACTATTTTTTTGACCAAAAATTGTACAGACAAATCCACAAACAAAACCCACTTGATCACAGACACATAGTATAATCACGAACGACGCCGAGATCGAATCACAGTGTGATGCCCTAATTCTACGGAATCACAGCAATGAAGCCCTAAATTTCGATCACGAACGACGCCCAAATCGAATCACAGTGTGATGCCCTAATTCTATGGAATCGCAACAATGAATAAATTTCGATCAAAGTGAGTTGTGGAGTGGGTACCTGAACGGCACGGTGAGCGGGGACGGCAGGGGTGGAAGCGAGGGCGGCGGATGAGGACGAGGCAGACAGGGTTTCTGGGGAGCTGGAGACGAACCGTGGAGGAGGATGTCGGCTGCGGAGTGGCGGAGGTGGTGGTTGTCGAGCGGGGACTTGAGGCAGAGGAAGGCCACCTTGGACTTGAGGTCCTCGATCTCCGCTTCAGCTCCTCCTCCGTCTCGCTTCCTCCTCGTAGGCGCTGGCGACGCGAAGGCTGCGGTGACCAGTCGGAGGCGGCAGCGGGGTGGCGGAGATTCGGAAGAGGCGGCGCACGACTTGTTAGGGTTGAGGGGAAAGGGATCGGGGGTTTGGGGATAGAAAAGGGAATCGGGGGTTTGGGGGAGAAAAAAAACAACGGATGTCAAAAACACAGGTGTTTTGAGAAAGGGTGGCACTAGGGTACACTTTCAACCGCATCACAAACCACACCTCTCTTACACGTGCTACAGTATACCGGCCCCATATGAAATTTTAAAATCTCATATTGGGTGCGCATATGAGAGATGGGGTGTGATTTGAGATGTGATGGGGAATGTGCCTCTATTATTTTCCTTCGAGAAAAACGTGGATCTTTTGGACTTGGTAAAGGGTCAGCTTAGAAAAACAGCTCAGTTTCCAAATTGATTATTTTTTTAAGAAAAAAAAAACAGAAACAAAAAAAAACATTCTGATTACCAAAGGCTCCCTAAGTGAGATATGAACAAAAGAGAGGGTGAAAAGAAAATTTTCAAAAACCGGTTGGGCAATTTATACAGATCCAAAATCAGGGAAATAACCCAAATAAATTCTTTAGAAAGAGAATTTTGAAGAAACTTACCACAAAATTGAGAGAGAGAGAGAGAGAGAGTGAGAGAGTGAGTTTAGGGTTTTGGGTTTGGGAAATTCGGGATCGGGTGCGATGGGTTTACTATCGGATCCGGGTCAACTCCAACATTTATTGGTCCAATATCAGCCCGGCCCAATAAAAGAAAAAAGAAACCCTAATTCCAAACCCATTATATAAAAGCCTATCCTTGCTCCTTTCCCAGTGTCGCTCGGTTGCGGCTTCAAATTTGAAGGTTTACCTTTGCTTTTTCATTTTTTTTTTCTTTCTGTGATTTGAGTTTCCATCAATTGCAGCTTGGATTTTTGTTTTTTCCTTTTCAAAAGCATGAAATTATTTATTATTTTAATTACTAATATTAACA